GTGTGTGTGTGTGTGTGTGTGTGTGTGTGTGTGTGTGTGTGTGTGTGTAGTTCAGGGGTCAGATAGAGATTGAGACAATTTTGTACATAGAATATGAAGCTCCCTCTCTCTCCAGATTTTTTATTTCTAAGATTTCCTCCTTCACATTCCAGAGGCTGTGGAACATGAGCCCTTATCTCTGGGTCTTCAAACCAGTAAGACTGTTGTCTAGTGGCATTTTAGCTATCTCACATGGAACAGACTGGGGCCTGCCTTCAAATTCAAGCTATTAAAATTAAAAAAAAAAGAGGGGAGAGAAATGCATCTTATGCTGTTCCCTTTTTCCAGATGTTAACTTGCCTCCAGTATCCACCTGTTTTATTCACTTTTTGGCACCTTTAGATGATTGCTTTTCACAATTTGTTCAGAGTTTAATGTTTCCTGAAGGAGAATCAGCTCAGTAAGAGTTTGCTTGGCAATACTGGAAATAGGGTTACTGCTTTTTTAATTGAAGAACTGTTTAGTATCCCACTGTGTGATTTCTCCGTAATTTATTTAACCTCTTAGTCCTGCATTCATGGACATTTAGTTGTTTTGAATCTTCTGCTGTATCAATGTTGCAGAATATAACTTTATACATGCACATCGTGAGACATTCTTATGGATACTTGGAGTACATTAACAGACATTTCTGCACTCGTGAAGTTTTATGTTCTAGTTGGGGGAGATAGACAATGAAAAATAAATACAAGTACATTGTATAATAGGTTGGAAAGTGAAAAGTGCTATATAGGAAGAGTAGAGCCCTATTTGAGTAAAGGGATGGGAATTACTATTTGAAATCGAGGGGTCTTATTGAGAGGTGAGATTTCAGCAAAGACTTTAAGAAGGTGAGAGAGTGAGCCTTGAGGTTGTCTGGGGGAGAAGCAGGAGATGAGCCATTGTAAAGGCCCTAAGGTAGAGACTTGTCTGCTATGTTTGAGGAGCAGGAAGGAGGACAGTGTGGCTAGAGGAGGAGTAAGTGAAGCGGTGAGGGCTATAAGAAGCCAGAGATATGACTGAGAGCCACATTTATGTAAGGCCTTGTAGGCCATTGTAAAGACTCTGGCTACTGCTGTGAATGAAATGCAAAACCAGTGTAGGTTTTGAGCAACACAGTGATGTGATCTGACTTTCATTTTTGAAAGAACCATTTTGCTGGTTAACAGAGCAGTTGGGAGGTTATTACAATTATCTAGACTAGAGATGAGGCTGTTTTGAGTGTTTTGGAGTTCTTCACCACTATAATAGGTGAAGAATGATATCTCTTTGGCATTTTAATTTGCATTTCTTTAATTATGAATGAGGTTGAACATCATCTTAAAGTCATTAATATTTCCTTTTCTGTGGCCTTAAGTTTACAACCTGTGCTATTTTTTCTGTTAATTCAATGGTCTTTTTTTTTTTTTTTTTTTTAGTTGGAGTCTCGCTCTGTCACTCAGGCTGGAGTGCAGTGGCATGACCTCAGCTCACTGCAGCCTCCCCCTCTTGGGTTTAAGCAATTCTCCTGCCTCAGCCTCCCAGGTAGCTAGAATTACAGGTACCCACCACCATGCCCAGCTAATTTTTGTATTTTAATAGAGACGAGGTTTTACCTTGTTGTCCAGAGTGGTCTTGAACTCCTGACCTCAGGTGATCCAGCCACCTCAGCCTCCCAAAGTGCTGGGATTATAGGCATGAGCCACTGCGCCTGGCCTCAATGGTCTTTTTCTTACTGACTTGTCCTCAGCATTTTTTGAAAAATTTACCCAATTCCTGCAGAGTCCTCAGTATTTTTTAAAGCTCCTCATGTACTTCCAGTGTATAGGCAGAGATGAAACCAGTGATCTAGCCCATCCTAAGGTTAGATCACACCGAATGTTAAGAGGTCCTTGGAGCCTATAGTCACAAAGTACATTCACTCCCAGCACTTCCCTGTCAGGATCTCACATGCATCCTTCTGAAGCAGGAGAATCGGACAGCGAACTAGGAAGGAAGAGGTGATTTATCTCGGCTGGGAGCAAGTCAACATAGTTGTGTAACAGCCAAGCTTATCTAATAAAGAGAAGCTCTGCCTGTATATATAGGCTTACAGCCTTAGGAATTACACGTGAAAGGGTCTTGGGTTTACAGCCTTAGAAATTACACGTGAAAGGGTCTTGGGTTTACAGCCTTAGAAATTACACGTGAAAGGGTCTTGGGTTTACAGCCTTAGAAATTACACATGAAAGGGTCTTGGGTTTACAGCCTTAGAAATTACACGTGAAAGGGTCTTGGTGGATGGAGTAGGAGGAGGTTTGATCTTGTTTAAATAAAAACAATGCCTTCTGGAAAGATTCCCCCATACTATACCTGCTATCTAAAGGAAGGCAATTAAGGAGGTGCCAGTTGGCCAGCCTTTTCTTCTGTTGAAATG